AGAAACAGGAAGCTGAGGATAGAGTCAGGAAGCTGAAGGCAGAGACAGGAAGCTGATGACAGGGACAGGAAGCTGAAGGCAGAGACAGGAAGCTGATGACAGGTACAGGAAGCTGAAGACAGTGACAGGAAGCTGATGACAGAGATAGGAATCTGATGACAGACAGGAAGCTGATGACAGGGCCAGGAAGCTGAGGACAGAGAAAGGAAGCTGATGACAGGGACAGGAAGCTGAAGACAGGCACAGGAAGCTGAGAACAAAGACAAGAAGATGAAGGCAGAGACAGGAAGCTGTGGACAGAAAGACAGACAGGAAGCTGAGGACAGAGACAGACGGGAAGCTGATGACAGGGACAGAAAGCTGAGGATAGAGACAGACAGGAAGCTTAGGACAGGGAAAGGAAGATGAAGGCAGTGACAGGATGCTAATGACAGGGACAGGAAGCTGAGGATAGAGACGGGAAGTCTCAGCTGTCCTCCCTCTGAGGACCTGCTGAACTCAGTGACCTCTGGTTCATGTCAGTAAAACGAGTCTCAGTTTTTGATCATCTGATATTTATCTGCAGCGATGAAGAGACAACTTGAGGACAACCACAGGAGTTGTCCCCTGTTGTCCAGCAGCAGTTTGTCCTGTCCTCACCTGCAGCGCCTCGCTCAGGGTCATCCCCCGGTGCTTCATCAGGTACGCCATGCAGACGGCGGCCGAGCGGCTGCGTCCGTTCTTGCAGTAGACAAGACTCCGCCCTCCAAGCTCCGCCTCCGTCTGGATCGCATCGGCGCAGCGGTCAAAGTGGGCGTACAGGTCCTCGCCGGGGTCGTCGTAGACGGGCACCCGCAGCTTGGCGACGGCGCCAGCGGAGGGAAACGGCTGCTGCCGGGACACGTTGATGCAGAGCGTCACGGCCTCCTGCTGGAGGAGCTCCTCGCTGCAGGCGGAGCGCGCGTTGCTGATGAGCAGGGAGCTGCTGACTTCACACAGCTGCAGCATCACGAGGAGGAACTGACCCTCACAGGCCCCCGTACTCGCAGCGCCACTGGAAACAGACACCTGCTCAGAAACAGAAGCACGAGTAGGAGCTCCAACTCCACAGGTCCTGAAGCCAGGGGCGATTCTAGAATCTGCCCTTTAGGGGGGCTTAGCCCGCAGTGTTGACAATGACTCTTAGGTTGAACAACACAGTGAGAAACATTTGTGGGGGGGGGGGCATATTGGTGGGGGGTCCTCCCCAAGAACATTTTGAATAAAGTAGATGCCATTTCATGCATTCTGGTGTATTTTAACGTTTGTTAAAAATCTAACGGACCGGCCCAAAGTCCACAATACTGCAGACGCTGCACCAATCCATCCGTCAGTCTCTCGCTCCTGAACAAAACCCTGAGATACTTGAGGCAGAACCTGAACCTGAACAGAACTTTTCTTTTTCATTCAACCTTTATTTACAGATAAATCACACGCCTCACAGACACTGAACACCTCACACACACTGAACGCCTCACACACACTGAACACCTCACAGACACTGAACGCCTCACACACACTGAACGCCTCACACACACTGAACGCCTCACAGACACTGAACGCCTCACAGACACTGAACGCCTCACACACACACTGAACGCCTCACACACACTGAACACCTCACAGACACTGAACGCCTCACACACACTGAACACCTCGCAGACAGTGAATGCCTCGCACACACTGAACGTCTCACAGACAGTGAACGCCTCACACACACTAAACACCTCACACAGTGAATGCCTCACACACACTGAACGTCTCACAGATAGTGAATGCCTCACACACACTAAACACCTCACAGACAGTGAACGCCTCACACACACTAAACACCTCACAGACA